TGTAGAAAAAATATATGTTCATTAATATTGAAGAAAGGATTTCTGAGGTGTTTCACACTGTTTGCAACACTTTCCCTTTTAGCTCAAGCTAGGTTTTTTTCTTCCCGCATAATAATTATCCAGATGTTATACATCTGGATAATGTTATAGCACAGCTGATGTGGACTTTGCAACTACTATATAACACATTTTACCTAGCCTGAGGTTATCCTAGGTGATCCTAAAATTTAACCTTACCTTTCAGAGGGCAGAGGGTGGGCACAGATAATGACTGCTTGATGCAGGTCTTGCATCTGGGGGCTCAGAGTGCCTTGGATGCACTGGTGTCATAGCAGGGCACAAAAGATGGATGCTCCATGAAATTACCTAGGAACAAATTTCCCACTTAGCATGGGCTTTGTGAATATCTGCCCATTTCAAATGCCTATGTGGATAGCTAAAATTGCCAACTAAAATATGCAGGCTTCCTTCCTTTGCTGGAAAACAGTTGTGTTCATGTATTCATTATTTTGAGACGTATTCTGGAGATGAAGGTTCAAAGCAAAATGGGAGGAAAGGAATATACGAGCTACTAACCAACTTCTAAAATATTTACTGTGGATTGAGAGTATTATCCTGTTTGGAAAATGCTGCCCTAAGGCTCTTCTGCCATTAAACAATCAAGGGTTAATAACCAAAATAAACAAAAAGCCAGATAGCAAAGCTAATTATTAGCTTACTGGGCACCCAGGTAAGGTTGGTGGATGCACCTCACAGGACTTAATTACATGAATGTTCTGTGGTTTTACATCCCAGAACCACAGCCTGCTGCTGCATGATATGTGCTCCATCCCTGGTGAAATGTTTTGGTTTCAAAGCAAGAAATTGGAATTTTTGGAATTTGCAATGTGTTAATTTCATAAGCCTAGATAATATCTGTGTTTGCAGAAACAAGATTGTGCATCGATATTCAAATGTAAAAATCAATATCAATATTCTGTATGGGAAGCAGAATTACTTTGGACATTAAGTAGATATCAGTATGTAAGTTGCTGCTAAAATCCAGAAAAAAATCTGCTGTATGGTTCTTTTTATTTTTGCCTCAGAAGAACAAAAAAGAGAGATGTAGTTTTATTTGATAGGCTTCTTGGTGGTACGTGTTAACATTTATTTTACAAAGTCCTAAACCGAGGTCATTTTTATTGAATTTGTACTAAGATAAAATAACTCTGCAGGTTATTTGCTTTTTCACCTGAAACATACATTGTTCACAGATGATGAGTTTTACTTTCTGAAAAATAAATTTCATAGTTTGCCCTCAGAATAGGTGCTCCTGCCAAAGTCAGGTCTGGCTTTAGTCTTTAAATGCACGTGGAAAAAAAATGAATATGCCAGTTCTGTAAATCACTGTCTCAAACCATAGCTATACAGTATCTTTCCTATGCTGTGAACCCAAATGCTGGAGTGGAACGCACTATTTTTTTTTTCCTGTATGGAAACATGGAGTCTGCAACAGAATAATTCCACAGATTAGGGCCTTTCTCTGACCACAGCACTTCTTGGGCCCAAAGATGAAATGCAGTGAGTAAGATACCAATCATCATGTAAAAAAAAATAATACAAGGGCCTGTTTTAAATTCTATTACTCAAATTTTCTGCAAACAAGAGAGACTTGAACAGCCATGTACAAGTATTAAGTACAGCTATCATGCTCTGCTTTTTTCCCTGAGAAATAAAACATTATCAGCTATGGAATGAATAATTGCTCAATAGAAATCACCTCAATTCGCTTCAGTTAAATTGTTTGGATTTTAAATCAGGTATATTAAAAAAGTCCATATATGAAACCTTAGGATTTTAGTAAAAGGTAATATAAAATTGTAAGATGAAATATTATACTTCTATTAGTTAATGCAGTTCCACTCTTTGGATAAATACTGAGCTGAAAGCAGAATTTTTGTTTTCAAGGCTTGATGTATGTGCTGAATCTTGAAAGCACCTTGAAATCACTTTAATTTGAAATCAGACTTATTTGTCCTCTGAAGAAAATACTTCTGCCTTGGTTGTTGGTAAAGAAAAAATTGAGTGACAGTACACTATATCTTATGAGTGAAAATTTCTGACTTGTCTACTTGCCATTACTACTACTACTACTACTACTACTACTAATACTACTACTCCTACTACTCCTACTACTACTACGCAACAATAAGAGCAGAGTCTGGTGGTGGGGCATGTACTGCCTGATCTCATGTGGAAAAAAGGCCAGGACAGCACACTGCCTTCCTACATCTACCTGCTGGGACATGGCAGTGACAAATGGCAGCAGCTGTGAATGTGGAATGTGCCAGGAGCACCAAAGCAGGAGGAACAATCTGTAGGGGAAATTTCTTGCCTCAGTCCACTCCAAATGCCTCTGCACCGATCTTGTGAGACAGAAGCTATTCCAGAGTCTTCTGGAGATGTTTCTGAAGAAATGTTGGAGATGTGCAATAGCACCAAGCCATTTCATTTGCCTACTGCTATTGCTGTTCTTACTGAAGAGCATTGCTGGACACCCTGTTTGATTTGTGAGTAATACCAGGTCTCCCTAAGGCTGGCTGGAATGCCAGCTGCTCATCTGTCACAAATGAGAATATCCTGTGTTCATATCCCCTGGGAAAGCTCGGGGAGAGCAAGGTGTGATGGGAGCTGAGCAGAGCTGAGAAATCAGTATTAGGAGGGCAGAGAGTGATTTGTTGCTGAGCAGTAAAGCAATTGGAAAATGCTGGTGGATGAAGCATGAAAAGGATTAAAAGATGAGTGCACAGTAAAAGGTGTAGAGCAGCTAAAGCCCTGGGAGGAAAACAAGCCAGAAAGAATTTCATGGCAGTGAGAGAATGGTCAAAAGTAACTTTAGGCACTGTGAACAAAGAGATGTTCTGCTTGCTGTGTGTAGGGACAAAACTTGGTATTGCAGACACTCCCAGCTGCTGTAGTGCTTGTCCTGGAGGAGGTTGCCCATGCTGGTGGACAGGCATTGCAGCCCCTTGCTCTCCTGCTCCTGGGGCTTCAGGCTGGAGCTCGTGTCAGGGGAGGCCAGAGCACCTCTGCTCTGAGCACATTTTGGGGTCCGTGTTCAGCAGCATCCTCCTGCTGGAGAGCAGGGAAACAGCCAGGGAGAGGAGCAGAAAGGGTGGAGGATCTGCATGGGACAGGCTGCTGTGAGCTTTGTGTGATGGAGTGTGGTGCAGGAGCAGGCTCAGGCTGGGGGCAACACAGGAACGGGTGAGATGGGAGAAGAGTTGAAAAAGAGGTCTTGTTTTACCCATCAGGGGCCATGGGGATGCTTTAAGTGACTGATGCACAGAAACATTGCTATTCAAAATGAAATTTACAGGAAGTACCAGGAATAGCAATTATTTTGCTAAAGGATGCCCCTTCCTGCTTTTGGAACAAGGGCTGAGACACGCTTTTGTTTTTTTTTCCCCATATTTCTCCCCTCTGCCAGCCTAAGACCTTTTATTGTACCTGTTTATTTCCAAGATGGGTCTGTGGGATCCCTCTGTTTTGACAGAAGCAGTAAACTAACACCTCCTGCTGTCTCAACACTGCTTCTCTAAGGGTTTTCTGGGTTATGGGTGAAATATATCCAATTTATGTTTGCATGGAGCCCCAGAATGTGCAGTAATGAATAATTTATTTTATTGACATTTTATTTTTGCAGAATAGACATTCACACTATCAACTAGAGAGACTAGATTAACAGTGGAAAGCATAAAAATTCATTAAAGTGTATGCGTGATTACATGAAATTCAATCATTCTAATCTACAGCTTATATGTATTGACATTAAAGAAATTATTAAAAACTGGACATAATACATGAGAAGACTTAATGAGTGTCAGAGGGATCCAGTGAGGAAAGCAGGGCATTCACTTTGTTGATGAGAGATAAGGAGGTTGGCCTTTTGGCTTTGTAGTTATTTGCTCTCGAGCCACAGTTTCCTACCTTGGAAGTTCCTGCTCTCTGGGCTGCTAGAGAGCAGGGGGTGTGACATTTCAGTGAATGCATAGGACGGGGAGATACACCAGCACCACTCCACTTCAGCCCTCTCCCTTCTTACTCATGGAGTAGCACTGAGTGCCGTCGGGGATGAGACTTTGTCTGTCAGGGGAATCACAAGTGCTTAACAGCAGCCAAAGAGACAGGAGAGTGATAGGGGGTGTTGGCCTGGTAAGGTTTTGCTGGTCAAGCTTCCCCTGCTGAAAGAACTCCCACTGCAGCCATAATTAAAAAGGTCTTGAACAAAACTTTCTGTTCCTGAAGCTTCCTTCCAAAGCTGAGACTGCAAGTACTGCAATATTGGAAACTTATAGTAGTGCTGTGCAAAGAAACCTCCCATATTCTCCTCCCAGGGAGGTTTCTCCTTCCTCTCTGGTGGTTTCTATTATCCCTTTGAAGTGCTGTAGCTGGTAGTTGGTAGCTGGATTTCTGTCCAGGTCATATGAGTTAGGTGGAAAAGTGGTTTTTGCAAAACAGTGATGAGTCATCTCAAAAAAATAGGAATTTGCCTTCAAAAGAAGTAGGCTTATAAAACTCCTCTGGATTTAGGAATAAGGCTCACCCTGCATTCAGTGTAGAAGCCAATAGTAGGACTGAATTTGCTACTGCTGAGTACACCAGTGCATGTGTACTTGTCTTCTGCTACTGGAGTCCTACATACAAGTCCTACATAACTGCTCTATGGTGTGAAAAATCTATAGGCAGGTAATTTGGAGGAGTGGATTTTTTCTGAGTTATGGTATCCCAGAGAAGACAGCAATAGAGCAAAGCTAATCTCCCCTTTTAACTCATGCTGATTTTCTGAACTGAAAAGCTGTTGCAGAAGACTTCCCAGTGGATTTTTTCATGGTTTTACAGTGGATCCTGGTTCTATGTATGCACAAGTTTCCTTCTTTCTTTCATAGGTGAAATGTATGTTCAATATTTTGTTCCAACTTGCTTTGGTCTTGCACTTTCGCTCTTTTTTTCGTTGAAGATTATGTTTGGCTTGTGATGTTGCTGACTGTTGCCCATTCTGGAAAGGTGTTCAGCTGGAAGAGCCTAATTCCCCATGTGTTGATGGCCACCATGACAACAGCCAGACCAATTAGATTTACACCCAGGCCAGCTTTCACCTGCAAAAGCAAAATGCATCAGAACAACTTGGTCAAAAACAGTTAACATAGGGGAAAAAAAAAAAAAAAGAACAAAAAGCAGTAGGATTTATACTGACTCATATATAGTGTGATAATTTATGTATAGTGATTTCTAGAACAAAAGAAAAAAAGCATAAATGAGAGAATATGTGTCAGGGTATATGTTGGAGTATTCAGGAATGATAGTTAGAGACTGATGCAGTTCATTCACTGCTCAGTTTACCACTTGGAATTCTCAACTGGATAATCAGAATCGGGAATTAAACCACACACACATGACTTACTGTGGAGCTGTGTGATAAATCTAATTTCTTATGCTTTCTTGTGCTTGTCTTAGTAGGTCAGTGCAAAGGATTGCATACTCCTAAAGCTCTTTAGACCATTACATTCATAAAAAAATACAGCTAAGAAATGTGTGCATCCTACAGCAGATCTGTGATTGTTCTTAACCTGACAGCTCTATTGTGTAAAAGCAGTGCAGACATCACTAATTAATAGTAGCACCAATATAATAATTATTATTGCACCAATGCAATTATTATTATTGGTTATTATTGTTGGCTGCTGGATGTGGGACTAGGTGTTGGAGTTGCATGAAGCACAGGAGGATACACCCAGTGCCAAGACTCACCATATCTTTGATCTGGCAGTGCCCATAACTGAAGACAATGGCATTTGGAGGGTTCCCCACAGGCAGCATCACCGCAAACGAGATGCACATGGTGACAGGAATCAGGGTGTATAAAGGGTTGATAAGCAGGGTTTCTGACTGGAAGAACAGAGGGACAGAAGTGTTTCACCTAACCCATAAAAGTCACAGCTGACAATTAGTATGAAAGGACCCTCTCTGTATGCTGTGAATCGCACCTGCCAAATTTCTAAACAGGCGTGGAAGTATTTTTTGGTTGGTTGGGGTTTTTTTAGAACAGTGATATAATTTTTAGGCTCCAGGGATCTCTCTTGAGACATTTCACCATGAGGGAGGGTGGAGTTTGCTACTATAGTAGGACACCTTCACTCTTTTTCCCACTTGTTCTATGTGTCGTTCTGTATTGTGTCTTCTGGACTTTAACACTGACTGTTGCTTCAGTCCTGATCCACAAGAACTCACAACAGGTTAACACAAAGAACTGGCTTCTTCCAGTTGTTGAATATGTTGTGAGACCATTATGTGATGTCCTCCTGAATAGTGCTTAAGAGAACCAGCTGTTCATGATCCAAACTTGCATGGTGAGAAGGCAGAGATGATGGAATATTCTTTACAGTGGGCTAAAGAATGCAGTGTTCAGTGGTGATAAAATTTTCCATTTTCATTTACATCGCTTTGGCCCAGTTTTATATGAGAGGGAGAAGGAAGGATAAACAAGGCCACAGTTATTTTGGGGAGGAAAGTGTCTCCAGGTTACTTTTGCAATCTAAAAAGAGAGTCTGCCTTAAGATGGCATTTCATGCTACAAGTAGACCGCTGCTCTGAATATTTTTTCAGGAGCAGAGGCAAATCTGAATTCCTAAGCCACAGAAACACAATTACATATTTTGATCTGACCACATCTTAATATTTACTCAGAACTGTTCCCATAATATGCTTTAGGATAATCCCATAAAATAGTTATAATAGGGAAAGATGATTTATGACCTCCATTCTTGGTAAGAAAATTTTCACATTACGTAACAAAAAAAAAAAAGGAAATTTTTCTGTAACTGCTATTCCAACATAAAATTAAATTACTATCTCTTTCTTCTACCTTTTTCAACAGCATCCTGATGTTTTTCTGCCCCTTACAAACATCTCTGCTTTCCATGGTGGAAGACAGTATGCTTACCAGATCAACCCCTTGAACACTTCTAATTCTGAAATAAAATTCAGGACTGCAGTCTTTTCTCACAAGTAGGGAGCAGGTGACTACTACGTAATGAACAACACCTTTAAAATAACACTGCCAAAAGCATCTCAAGCTTGATGTGAAATTCACCTAACTTGTTGATTCCATAGTCACCTTTTCTGTACCTGGCATATGAATTCCTCAGTGCACTTTGCCTGATAGGTATTATAAATTCCTTGATGCTCAAATACACTTTTGGCTGCCCAATTGTATTATTTTTCCTAGTTCCAAGACTACAGAACAGTAGCTTGGGAACTGAGGCTGGGTGAACATGGTGAGGCATGTGAACAGAGTGCCAAGACCCTGACACCCTGAAAAATTCCCACAAGCCTGTGAGGAAACAACAGACTAAAAATGTCGCTATTTTAACTCACCATGCTGCATAAAATAGGTAGAAAGATGGTGATGGTTGCTGGATTACTAACAAATTCTGTTACCATGGACACCAAGATGCAAGCCAGCAGAGTTACAGCCCAGTAGGGAAGGCTGCTCAGGGAGAGCATTTGACGTCCAATCCATGTAGAGAGGCCAGAGGTCTGGGGAAAGGACAGAAGCACAAGAATTACTAAATGCTTGGTATGTTTGTAAAACAGATTCTTCTTTCTGTGTCAGTTCACATTAGAGAATCCCACCAGAAAATAATCTTTAGGTCTATGCTTTCTGCATTTCCTTTTTCTCAGTAAACTAGATTTCACTGCAGTGTTTAATAAATAGCAAGGAAGACATATATTGAGTGCAGGGAGTGCAGCCTACTACATTATGTACAAACTTGTAAGAGTCCATATCATAAATCCAAACTGAGGAGCATACAAAGGAATAAAAGAGCAGGTTGATAATATGTTTAGGAAGGAGGATAAAAAAAACCCAAAACTACACCAGTACCTTGCATCCAGCTGCTAAGGCATAACCTCCTCCAACCAACACTACGATCTCCCAGGGCATGGTCTTCTGAAAGTCCTTCCAGGTAATGATGGGCTCCAGTGTGTTAATGTCTGTTGACTTTTCACCATCTCCTGTATCAAATAAAGTGTGTGACCGGTATTGTACAGCCCTTTTTGCAAAGATCTTCACATTTTTTCACAAGAACATAAATGATTGTGCATGGGACTACCTGAGAGAGAAGCAAAGAGGCAGTGCATAGCCTATTTCTCTGGATAGCCTGGCCTCAGAAAATGCAGTGTATTCATTCCAAACACCCTGACTTTCCCTTGGCTGCTCTGTTGATGTAAATAGTTGTAAACCCCTGTGTTTTCATGTTACAGCTTTTTGAGGGACTGTGAGCTGTGTTGTGATATGCATGTACATATATTTGTAGACCACAGAGATGGTGTTATGATGGGATTATAATATCAAAGAAGGGCTATGAAGCAGGCCATGATGCTTGATGAAGTGCATTTAGGCCACTAGATTTTATCTGAGGACATTTGGTTTTTTTAGTGCCTGAGTGTTTTCTTGAAGGAGGAGTTAGAGAGTTTCATATTTTCCTAAAACCTGTACAATATATGACAGTGTAAAAATATATGTTTATATAAATTTATAATCTCTGCACAAGACTGTGCAGAAAATTCTAGTTTCATACCGCACTGCTGAAAGACTGGCACAGCCAACCAATCAAACCACTGAGTGCTACCCAAACAAATGTGAAATAATCTCATTATCAAGAAGTCTGTGAGAGAAGCGTTGCACAAAATTGGAACATTGTTTGGCACTTTATGATCTCTCTTTTGTTTATCTTAAGATATTACAGTGATTTCCACTGTATAAATGATGACTAATTTTTTTACTTGGGTTTATCTTGAGCTGATTTTGCAATATAGTTTTTTAATATGGAACTCCATCTAAACCTTTCCTAAAGCTTAGTCCTTGGTCCTAAAGTCTAATAACTCTGCTAGCACAGAAGAGGGGGCAGTCTCAGATTCAAGACCTGTTTGTCACCCTCTGAATGAGACAATATGAATTAAGACAAAGAAAAAGGAGATCTGATGCAGGAAGGCCTGGTATCAGAGGAGAAACTGAACCTTGACTTACCAACATAAAACTATCTTCTGGGAACTTTTTACAGACCAAAAAAAAAGAAAAATAATTGAATAATCATTGAAAAATGTACCAGCTCTCTTTCTTACTGCATTCTTCTCACCTTCTCTCCTTTTTCCAAAACATGGCTTTTTTGCTGGAATCAGGAAAAGGAGAAACCCAAGAAATACAGAAACAGTGGCATCAGTCCGGTAACCTTTCCTAGGAAAGAAACAACGGGATTTTTTTTTCATAAAAACACATTAACAGAATACATTTCCAAAGCAGGTACATATCTCCAAGCACATTTCTGCAGGTACAGTTGTATTCCCACATCTGAAGTCATACTAACAGCCCACTAGAAAAGTATGCCTGCATGTCAAAGATACAAATTGGATTTTTTTCCCATTTATTAACTGAGTCTGGTAGCCAGCTTCAATCACAGCTCAATAATTTTTAACATTCTGGCTGAAAAAAAAAATAGTCCCTTTTGGTTTACAAATCTATTAACTTGGAGGTACAGAAATGTAGTGTGTTTACTGTGGTGGTAAGAAAAGTAAACACATTCTGGGGAAAAGCCAAGCCCAACTCATCCTTTAGAATTGAACTGTAGATTGATTTTAAATTAAATGTTTAAAACTCTTTCTCTAAAAGTATTTTGAGGAGTGCCAAACTCCAGTGATCATCATAAAATCACAGTATTAGAAATAATTTTTCTCTCAAAATTGGAATAAAAATTAACTTTATACAGTAGCAATACAAAGAAAACTTACATTCAGATCACTTATACTTTGATGTGCAAAGTGTGTTAAAATAAGCTTTAATGTAATTTGTTTCAATATTATTTAAAATAAAAGAAATTATTTGCTTCAGTCATCGTTCTCAGCAATATTTAATTGAGTGGACATTTGCTTGATAAAAGACTTTTTGTCAAAAGTTTTAATTTCAATTATACTTGCAATATATTCTAGTGAAAACTTCTTTATTAATGCACTAAAATATTTTAAGCTCAACATCTGACCCTCCTATTCTATTACATTTGAAGTGGTTTAATTTACTTTCTCTACTTAATTTACTTTGAATACTGAGAAAGAATGGAATTTTTCATCATACAAGCAAATATAATTAAAGCAAAAAAAAAAAATCCTAATTTTTTAATAAAGACTCCATTTTCCACTGCTTCATTAAATGTGGCTGATGATGTCTTAGGGGGAAAAAAAAATATATATATATATATAGTAGGAAGTCATAAGAAGCAAAGTTGTATTCCTGTGCAGTTGTTTAGGGGATTTTACTCACTTCTCAAAAAATGATGACCATCCTGGTACAAAGCCGGGCTCACGAGTGAACCAAAGCAAGGTCATCAGGATGAAGAAGAATCCAGTCACCATCTCGGGATAGCTAGAAATGAAAAACAGAGAAAGCTAGGAAGTAATTCCAAGGCCTGTATGAAGAGCAAGTTCCAGAAGAACTAAGAAAGTAGAAACTGGCTTCAAAAAAGGATAAAAACCATGTGAAAAATAGCAAGGAAGATTAGTTTGAATTAAATAATTCTACATTTGGCTCCCAGCTTGAAACCATCTAAACCCAGTAAGAAATAGGCTAAAAATAGCCATCTGTATTTGCAATACGATCATTCATGAGCAAGACCTGAAGGAAAATATTTCTAAATGCTTGTTTTGTATTTGCATTATTATCTGATTAAATGTGTTAACAAGGTGAAGTTCATATTAGCATTCCACTGTAAACATAGTCTTGCATTTTTTAGAAGTTTAGAAAACCTAAGTGCAAATGACAATGTAAACTAGCACAGATGGTGCACACAAGGTGACTTGAGGATACTTGAGGTGGCTTAAGGATTTTTAATTTAGCATAGATTTAAATTAAGAAAGATTTCATATTTAGGCACAGCCTGAACAACAGTCTAGTTTCAGAGCTTATCATATTCAGGCAGTTGATCTGTCAATATTTCCATTAAAACAGCACAAAGCTGTTTTGTGAAGGAGGAATTCTGTGCCATATCAGCCCTTTAGAAAATGAAAATCTTGCCAAATAATCTTTTCAAGAGACATTTCTTGCCATCGTGCATAAATATTTTAGGCAACTGGGAAGGCTGGACAGCTCATGGCATAGGAAAAAGCCTTTGTTGAACTTCTATCCACTAAAATAAGTACGTGCCTGAATTAGGAGAAGGGATCCTTTAGTGTTCAAAGAAAAACCTTGACTCAGATAACCTTTGAACCCTGTAATAAACTCAAATCCTCCCTTTTTTCCCCCATTTTCCTCAGAAATAAATGAGTCACATGTTGGCTTAGGCATGCTTGTAACAAAGCCTTTGATTTTTGTTCATTTTTGCATTTAGTTCTATTTCTATTCTGGAAGGGAGGAAACTGAGCTGGGAGCTTTAGAATAAGCTACATGAGCCCAAGGCAACATGGAGAGCAATAGGAGAGAATGGTTTGGCCTAGAGAGGCAAATTCCCAAGGAAGGCAGGTCTGGTTTACCTAACATTTCCCAGTTTCTTGTATTCCTCTTGAATTCTTCTCTCTGACATTTCTTCCCGTTTGGTCTTCTTCTTCTTGCTCACAGAACAAGTCTCTTTAAAACTGAGATAGCACAGTAAAATTAGTCAAGGGCATAAAGAGGGGGAGAAAAAGTAGTCAAAAAAAAAAACCAGCAGTGAGGTAGGTTGAAAATTCTGGTATCAGGGTCTGTTGGGAGATATGTGACTGGGGCAAGGCCTGATGGCAATGGGAAAGGAAATTACTGCGTGTGATATTTGGTTAATCTGGTTTCAAGTTCTTTTAAGATTCTGTTGTAGACATAGTTGGAAGGTCCCCAGGGTGCTCTGACTAGTACTGATTGGTATCACTGAGCCATCTTGAGCCATGGCTGGGCTCCCTCTGCGTAGGCTTCCTCAGAGAGCTGCCAGAAACCTCCAGAAGACATGGCTAGTGTCTCTCACCACATGGAAAGATTGTGACAGAGGTCAGCTATCAATAGAAATTTTTCATGGGCTAACTATGCTTTCCAGTTGGATCAGGGTTATCCAACATATTTGGGGCCTGCTCTGGCTTTTGAGACCATATTTGCCTTGGATATTCAGGATTCATAATGACAGAAAGCTGTGCTTGGGATCATGTTAGCTGCCACAACCTGTCTGCTTATGCTTATACTGTCACAATAACTTCTGTTTCTAAATCAGGCACAGCCAGAAAAGCACCACAGAGGCCAGGGGAGTCAGCCTGGTGTTTTGTCCAGGTGAAAAATGCCTGTACTTCTGCCAGGGACATGAAAACACAAGCATATTCCCTAGCTGTATATATTGATCCTTAATATTGAAATATTAACATTTGTATGGATGTTAAGTGAATTCCTTAGTTATCCAGTTTTCCTTCATTCTATAAGAAGTCATGGACATTCTTAATTGAAATTAAGATGCTTTCAAGCTCACTTTAGCCCTCTCATTCTCTTCTTTCCAGAAGTGTTGTTTTATTGTGCTTTGAGCCACGGATCCCTCTTTTTCACTCCAGCTGTACCCTCTGTCACACAGAGGGGTAACAGGACCTAAGCCAGTCTAAAAGAGGCAGCAGCCTCAGGTACCATGGCAGCACAACTTTTATAGTCCTTTTAGCTGATAATGGGTGCTTTTATGGTTCCTGCTACTTTAATATGTCACTTGGTACCTCACTAGGCACCCAAGCACTGGCCAAAACACGGACTGCAATCTCCCTCAATGTATCTGCTTAAGGCCAGACTCGCAAAGGAATTTTCATTGTTTGAGATCCAGATGGGTCCTGTCTGGTCAACAAAAAGTCCTAACCAGGGTTTTCATTTCCCATGGGCAAATGGGAATATGTAATGCATTTATTTAGCTCACTTAGCACTGCCTTTCATCTAATTTTAAATTTCCTTGAAAATCTTGCTGTTAGATTTTGGTAAACTCTACCAGAGGGAGAGACGAGGCTGGAAGAGCTTCCAAGCTGGAGGAGAAGAGCTAGATATGGTTTATAAAGGACAGTTCTGTACAGCTTCTACCCTTAGCTCTTCTTTGCTGGCAAAGATCCCTTGATGTGTCCATTCTCTTTCACCTTTGACCTGGTCAAGGGCCTTAAAGTCTGAAATGCTGCTCAGCTGAGCCAAGTAAGAACAGATTGATGGCACAGGGCTTCTTAGGAAAATAACATTACGGGAATTCATTAAACATTTATGCACAAGCATTAGGCAGCTGTTTCAACATGTTCTAAGTGTTTCCAGGCTCAGGAGGATGTGAAGGCAGAGTATTGAAGCCCAGCTCCCAGCATAATATGTTCTTTAATGAAGTGCAGTGAATAGAAGACAGAGATTAAGGAGCCTTGGAATCAACTAGTGCTTCTCAAAAAGTCAATAATGCTGCAGTCTCTGGTATTATTTAGAACAACATTAATCAGCATGGAGTCTTGGATGCAATGTGGAGTTTCAATTTTATTTTTTTTAAACCAAATTAATTGAGGGTCATGTTAGGACTTGTTTCTTTTCAAGATTAAAAGAAAAAAATGTAGAGAGAATTTATATCAGCCTTTTCATTTGGAATTACAAGACTCAGAGACTGACTGAGAGGGGTGTGGAGCCATTCACCTCTAAATTACTTCTTCAAATCTAGTCAAGGTCAGAAGCAAACAGAACTCATTATCAATTTATTCATTGACCTGGGTGAAACAGTGATGTCAGTTCAATTTACTTTTAAGAGTAAACTAAATCAAATTAATGGCCAATTTAATTCTGAGTAAATGTGTCTGCATCACAGTTTAATTCAGATTAACTAATCCATTCTAAATGCACACATTTAGGCAGTGTTCATTAACTTTGTAAAGACAATATGTGCTAGACATATGAGCTAGAAGACTGAAACTTTTTCTTTTTTTGGGGCTTAGGGACTTAGTGGTATTAAAGGTATTTGTCTCTTAGGCTGTGAGTCCTTTCCACTTTAAAGAGAAATATATATGGAGTCTACCTTTAATTTTAACTGGTTTTATGTTAATTTCATTGAGATGGAGGCAGATCTGAAAAGTAACTTTTTCACTTGCAGTTATTTTTCTATTTATCTTTTAAACTGTGCTTTTTCAAAAGGACTTATAACAAGATTTTTGGTCCACAAGGGAATCCTCATCGTCATAAGAATGAAAAAACTCCAAACCAATTGAATGTTTAGTGCAGATTTCTAGCAGCAATACCTGGGCACTTCAATCTCAAGCAGCAATACTCTACACTTTTGTCTGTGCAGAAGGTACTGTAAAGGGTAGCTAAGCAGTGAGATTTCCTCTGGTAATTGTTCTGGCAAGAAGAAGGAAATTGTGCCTTAAATTCTGTCATTTGCCAGTCAAAACTTCATTATGAGACAGGTTTGAGAGGAGCTGCGGGTGCCCTACTTTTGTAATCTGTATATCTTGAACAACTTCCACTCACTTGCAGCCCAAGAACAGCCAGTGCAGCCAGAACCAAGTCAGCACCAACATGATGAGGGAGATGGGGAAACTGAACAGGAACCAAGTTCCAAAATTCACCACTTCAGCTTTTGGGTACTGGCTGTAAATGAAAAAGAGGATGCATGAGAGGTTAGAACAGTAAAGGGACAGGGGCCTCCAGTAGTCATAGCTGCACACACATCTATAGGCATACATATCTGACATGGGGTGAGAGAAAAATTCCATCAGTTTGCATTTGCAACTGCTGCATTACCTATGGAGACTGAAACCAACAAACAGTATAGCTCTCCAAACCTTTAACACCAGATAGTCTGGATTGTCTGGCCAGCTTCAAAAACACTTGGAAATACCTGAAGTGAAACTCCATCCCTACCTGTGGTTTATATTAAAGCTTCTTTTAGGGTTGTCAGACTTCAGAATGATTTCACCCCAGAACCTCTTTCTATGTCTTCTCATGGGACACACAAATATTGATTGAATTCTGCTGTGCTCTGACAAAGATGTTGTATGTGTACATTTGATGTAATTATCATAAAAGCAAAATATTGGAAAATTCTATAAAATCAAAATCCTTGGACTGAGCATGACTTCTGAACTTAGTCTTCTTTGCTACCACCGTTTAAGAGAGAAAAATGAGAGATATCAAGGCAGTATTGGCAGCAGTAGATGGTCAGAATCAGATCTGAGCTTGGATGTGTTTCTGTGCATGAGAAGTACCACCAGTCTTCTGACAGAAAAACATTCATGTTTCTGACATTGAACCATTCATGTCTTTGAGAGCCCTGGGTCTATCATAAAGGAAAGTACTTGGGTGATCAGGAAGCTGCTTCTCATCTTCTCTGCAGCAAATGTGTAAGGTCACATATCTAAGTTGGTTTGTTTTTGTGGGTTTTTTTTCCACTGCATGTTGAGCAGCTGTTTTTATGACATTTCTTCTTCTGTGAGGACCTCTTTGTCTTCTTTGCTCTTTCTTCATAGCTTTAGTGTTTACTTTTCCAGAGTGCCTGCTGCCTTCATGATAATCAGTATGTCAAATCAAAAGAAGCTGATGTTACCTCAATGTTACCACATGCTGAGGAGTTTGTACTTTGCATGAAAGACATGGATATGTATTAACTTTCAAACATTAACCATTGGTAATAACATTAGAGTAGAATTTTCCTTCGGAGAGAGTGTTCTTACCGCGGCTCCTTGAGGCAGGAAATGACCCACAAGGATGATAATGACTCACCCACCATTCTCACCAAACCCCAGTGTCTCTTACTTGTTGAAGTGCTCGAGGAATATGAGGCTGGTGGAGGTGCCTATGATGGTGCTGAGCCCCCCGATGGTGGCTGCGTAGGAGATGCTCAGTGAGAGGCATTTGCAGACCATGTGGTCGTGCCTGGTCTGGTACTTGCTGCTCAGGCCGAGATCCGAGGGCTCAGGGGGCAGGACCAGGATCTGAGCCTGTGAGGGGACACATTCACAAGGAAAGCAGGTGATCAGAACTGCAGCCCAGCTTGCTCTAATGCAAGAGTCATAGGGGGCCCAGAGAAGCAAAAGGTTTGTGTAAGAGGCCAGGTTTTTCTTCTCAGGGATTAACTGGGATCAGTCCTGGAAACCTGTCCCAGGGTCTGAAATTGCCTGGTCTGTGACAAAAATGTAGAACAAGCAGTAATCGGACTTCTGGCTAAGGTTTGGGCCAACTCCAGGTCTGACTGGAATATCAGTGGGACACCAAAAGCCTTTGAGGGCTGCAGGGACGGGATGCCAGCACTGAGCAGAAAGAATCCATAATCCTTGAGGTTTAGGAGCTGCCACCACACAAAGGCTTGGTGAACTTATCACACTTAAACTGGCTCAGGGCCTCTAATTAGGGATGGAGAGCTGGGGACCTCAAAATGGTGTGGAAAAGGCTGAGCAGTGGGAATACAGAAGGAAAAGATGCCAGCAAATTTTGCTCCAAAAGCAGCTTTCTTATTAGTGACAGGAAACTGTGTTGGTAGATCAAATCCTTGTACTGGGAAAAATGGTACAGTACTTCAAGGCACTTCTCATGTACCCTGTAATTTAAGAATGAGGAAAACAGCAGCAAATGGTTCAGAAAGGCTTGTTACATTTACTAATTTGTATTTTGACTTGTTTTTGAACTGTGAAGGCAAATTCATGTGTTGATTTTAGCCTATTCTTTCGTGGACATAAACTTATGCCATTAGGATACTACAGAATCGTCATCCAAACAGCAATTTCATCCTGGATCCACTCAAGAGAAGTAGAAATACCAGAATGAATTGATTAAATGGAGGATTTTGAGCCTGGGTATTTTGGAAGACAAAAAAGGAAGTGGCTATTAAAAGTACCTAACAAAGTGGCTGAACAGATTAATGGTCTGTGCCTGCTGCTTTTTTCATTCTGAGTAGGGTTTTGTGTGCCAGGGGTTGTTATTTTTGAGTTGGGCTATTGTCCAAGGAGGATTTGCAGAAACAAAGTGGCTATTACAGTCAAATAATAAAGGAAACTTGTGATCACATTACTGGATGGAAAATTAAATTAATTGTCCCAGGCATTGGGGAAGGGTCTTCTGAACATACCTGTGGTGGGTGCATCTAAATGGAAGCAAGAACTGGCAAAGGGCCAAGCTGTGGCTGTGGTGAGACCATGGAGAAGGATTTATTTCAAGGAACAAATCTGAAACAGTGGGAAGCAGGTGATATTCCCATCTGTCTTTTGCCTCATCCCCAGGTCTAACATTTCCTTACCTGAGGGAGGTGCTGCCCGTTGCTCGTGGAATTCATTGCTCCAACAGGGTTGGCTATCATGTGCACACCGTTCATACTCTGCAAGAAGGAAAATGCCTTTGGATTAGCCTTTATTGTGTTCCTAGGGGCACTTGGAATAGAATTTGTGGTGCTTTGTAAAGGTAGTGGGTGGCAGGCTTTGGGACCAAAAAGGAAAAAGAAAAAAAGTTTCCAAAACTATAAGAAAATCCAACCCACTAAAAATCAGCTGTTAGTTTTACTCTGGGGATAGAAAAATGGTTTAAACCTCCTGCTCTTTTTTTTTAAAGTCAGATTATAATGATATTATGTCTTTTTCCTCTGTCATGTAGGAGACTCTACCAAGTCCCTTGAGCCTGTGAGTCTGTGATATGTGCAGGCTGCTGAAACCATATGGAATTGTTAGTTTGCTGACTGGATCTCAGGATCTGCAGCAAGGAGTACAACAGACTAAGATTGTTTTGTATTTATGCTGCTGCTGCTGTTATGGAGCTAATGCTCCCCTATTGATTTGTGCAAGCAGGCTGACAGGTTAAATACAAAGCAGGACATTCTGCAATACCTCCTTTAGCACCACACATTTGAAATAAAGGGACCAGCAGTTTTTTTCAGAGCTGTGTGCATTTTGTTCTGCTGGTTCCTGCATTAGAAGATGGCGTAGCACAGAAGATACCACTTATGACAATACCTTTGAGTGCATCAAGGAGCTGAAGTCAGTAGTAGCACTAAAAACAAAGAAAGGGAAATATACTTTAAAAATGCCTGTTCACCCAGCTCCTGCAAGAGGAACATGTCGTGGGTAGGAGGGGAAACATCTGCAGGAGAGCTAGTGCCTACTGAAATGCTGAACACCACTCATTACAACCTCTTATGTGAGCTCTTGGCCAAACAATAAGGGTCATTATTATGTTTCACAGTTCAGTCACTAGCTGTGCAAGCGTGGAGTTCCACCTCCATGCAAGAAAAAATTTGTTTCTTGGTAATATTTACCCCATTCTAGGAGAGGACTCTCTGTGGAGTGAATCACCAGGCAATCCAGCACCACTGCTGCCTGTTTGAGTCAAGTTCTTCCTCTGCCAACTTTTCCAATGTTGTTTCTGAGTACCTACCTGTACCACATTAAAGCCTTCCCTAAAACCTGCCCTGTGTGGCATGTGGATCATGCAAACAATCCACTGAGCTTATTTCCAGAAGATGTGCTACTTTTCCTGCCAAATTCAAAGCTCTTTTTCAAGTAATCCTATTTTAATAATAGTTCTGTACCGAATATCCCACACATGCTCTTCAATAGGGTTTAAAGGGATTAAATGGCACAATACCAATCCGAATATTTGATTCTATATTGCACAGAAAGTATGGCTGGGATAAAAAGAGATAACCATAAATATTGGAGAACCCAAATAATTTTAATTAAAATTTAAAATAAAAGAAAAATGTTTCTCTTTTATTTTGAATAGTTATGAACAATACAGAAGGAGCTCAAAAAGGGACTGTGCAGTTTTGTTCTCACACTTCACAAGATGCTCCTCAAAATTGGCCTATAATAAATTTTTAGGACACTAACTTTGCATGCTGTCTTGTGTATCTTGAACTGATAGCTAATTAGATAATTTGACAAAGCAATTTTCTTGTTTTATCCTTTCCCTTTACTAGATTCTATCCCAAATAGAAACTACTAGCGTTTCAAACTTATGAAGAAATTTGTCTACATTTAAAGAAAACTTCTACAAATTTATTACGGGATGAGAGGTGGTTTTTTTGTGGGTTCTTCCTCCTCCCATGTCCCCTCACCCTCCACTCTCATCTCTCTCTGAAATGCAGGCAGCTCAGACTTTCTTCAGGAACGCTCTGTAAGTGTTGTCCCTCTGGATATGTCCTGTGGGCAGTCCATGCTGCGCTTGGATCCTGTCCATCACTGTTCCATCAGGGGAACAGAAATAAAAATCCATGGACAGCACTTTTTTACACAGCACAAACCCAGACCTCAAAAGAGCTCTCAAACCCCCAGAAATATTTTCCTTCTCCCTAGAATATCCATAGTGTTAAAAAATAAATGAATACTGTGAAGTTTTAGTGAGATCCAGACCATCGCATTAATCCCATTTGTCATGTAAGCCTTCCTTGTCAGTCACATGTGAAACATTCACTTGTAAGGTCTTTCTTGCCCTTCCTGGCTCTACTCCTGGGTTCATCTCATTGCAACCTGTGTAGGGTTCAAATGTCCAGTCCTGGTGTACAGGGCTCATTCTTACTCCTCATTGATGAAGACAAGCTCCAGCGAAGGCTGGCCGTGCTTTTCGCTGAGACCTGCAACAGAGGAACAGAGAGCAGCCCTTGGGGTGAGAGCTGAGCTGGGCCCCTGGGTCCCACCACTGCACCTGGAGGAGCTGCTGCAAACAGAAGCTGGCCCAAACAGTCTCAGGTAGTGCACTCTTGATGTGGCATTTTATTGTTTTGTAGTGTACTGATCATGTGCATCTGGCAATTAAAAGGCAATGATGCCTACATGTAAGAGACAAGGTTGGATTAAATAATTTTCAGCCTGGAGACTGTAAAGTGAGAGAAAAAAAGGGATTCTTTTCTTCCTAAACCTTTTCCATCTGGGAAGGAATGAACAAAATGAACATTAGAGCTCTTATCAATTTTTTATTATGGCATTGTCAAGACAAAACTTCTGAGCTTCTTAATTTCCTGGACTTTATTACCAAAGGTTTCCTTCTAACTACCCTGTAAAATCCTATGACCAAGAGTTTATAACACACAAATACAGCAGACACCCTAATTCAATATAAATATTTTCCCAAGTCCTATTCTTCCGTCACTCCTAAAACTTCCTTACATTTTTTGAAAGGAATATCACAAAAAAGAGTGCATATCAGCGTTTTTGGCAGTGTAAGTCAGACAGATCAGACCTGGATAGAATTTGAACAATATCAAGAAGTCTGGTCACTGATAAACAAATGAGAAAAGAGTGGCCAATACTGACAAATACCTATTGGCTTGTTTTCTTCAGCAACGGTGCTGCCTGCAGTCGTGATGACCTCACACTCCTCCTCAGTATTCACCAGCTCCTGGAGCACTGCCTCCACGATTGGCATCACCATGGCTGTGGTGGAGGTGTTGGAAAGCCACATGGAGAGCACCGTGGTGCAGCACATAAAGCAGAGGAGCAGCCTGGAGTGCAGCACAGGGAGACACGGGGAGCCGGAGGTGGCAGAAAAAGGAGGGGAAAACCTGTAAGCTTTCAAACTCTGAAAGGAAAGATGGGTGTGAAAAATGCCCCAAACCGAGGCAGCTTTTGCCCATGGATGGGAAGATCAGAGGGGTTTCAAGCTGCTGCTCTCAGCCTCAGACTACCCCAAAGCCAAAGGTTCACTCACATGCCTGGCTTGGCTCCAGCCATCATCACCATGCGCAGGGCAATTCGCTTGTGGAGATTCCACTTTTCCACAGAAGCTGCCACACAAATCACACCCATGAGGAGCAAAGTTGTGTTCTTGAAATATTCAGCAGCCACCTGCATTAAGGGCCAGGGGGAAGCAGTCAGTTAGGGAAGCACACAGAAAGTGTGCTGAATGGGAAGAAATATAGCATTGTGCATTTTTGCACTCCCTGGAGTAGGAAGGACAGGGAGCTGGAGAAAATGAAGAATACATAAATCAAAATATTCTCTTTCATCTCTTTTTTGTTGTGTTTACAAATAAGGCTCTCTCCCCTATTGTTTATGGTCTTCCCAGTTTCGAAGAGATCAAGAGAAATGTTATATCTGCAAGCAGGATGCTCAGTGCCTGCAGTAATTCAGTCATACTCAACTAGGCTCATACGGAAACAAGCACAGACAAAACTGCACTGAGGGCAGCTTATTCATGTGCTTCATCTGCTTTTTCATTCTGGTGGTATTGTTGTCTGTCTTGCCTATATTTATTCTTGTCTTGTTCAGCTTTTGGGCAAAGTGTGGCATCCCTAGAGACTACAGCATCAGAAAAAAAGTCCTTTGGGACTTGGTCTTTGAAGGCAATAAAAAATGGTTGGTATATTTCTGCAGTGATCCACAAATCCTGAGCCAAAACTTGTCACATTGGAAATCCATTAACATTTTATCAGGAAAAGAGGGAAAAATTTCAAGAAAAATAACTTTAATTTAAAGACAATGAGAAAAACCATCACTGGCTCAGTAAAGTATCCAGAGACCACCTCCAAAGCAGGAGTTGTGGATGTGGGTCTTGCTAAAATATGAGAAGATATTCTGTGAAGCAACTTCAAAAATGACAAATTAGGCAAACCATAAAATTCTTGCACAAACATACACACATACTTCTGTAAAAACAAACAAAATGGGAGAAAGTAAAACTTGCAAACAGATGCTTGGGGTCTAGCAAAAATTTTCATATCATTTTGATGCAATCTTCCCTATGCTGTTTCTGGAAAATTGTTCAAAACCATAATTTCTTCAGTTTAAAACTAGTTCTCTAATCAAATGTAGGTGCCAGTGTTTTAAAACAAGTAAGATCAGAGGAAGCAATAATTTTTCTATTGTCCTTTCTATTTCTTCTCCATAAAGTGCAAGGATGACAATAATGTTATTTTGTGAAATCTGCAACAAGTTATATATTTAATGACATTTATTTAATAAATCCCTGTGGTGGCTAAATAGACTTGGGCATCATAATTGTGTGCCAGAACTTTTAAATATCATCTTTTTGGCTTTCTTACATTGATTTCTTTCTCATTAACTTTCTTTATTTTTCTGCTACCTTTTCAAAAAATAATGAGGTGAATGGAGGAAATGCATCAATCCAGTAGCATGAAGAATCTGCTGGATTTTTTCTCCTTTATTCCTTTCATAGCCACTTTGGAGAAATAAGTGAATGCTAATAGTCTTATTAATATCAACAGAAATATATATGACACACTGGCTCATGCTCTTAAGCCCCTGTGAGTAATTTGCAGCTTAAACAGTAGTAATTATCTGGGCAATAATCACTCCAGAACAGCAGATTGGAAATACTGCAACATCTTCATATTTGTTTATTTTTGAATGCAGGGATTTATTTCAGTTCCTAAAGCAAATAATACATTCTTTGCAGTAGTCTGTCTCACTGTCACTTTAATTGCTATTGCATTGAATTTCTCCCAGGGTGACATTAAATTTCCTTCTCCAATGTGCTGCCAAATTTTTAATGAAAATGCCCATCTACTTTACCTTTATATTAGGAAGAAAAGATTGTGAAAATACTGAATTCTGTTGGTATGAAAATGTTTCTCATTTTATTACAAAACTTGGGGGAATAAGCAGTCATAAAACTTGCGGTTCATGCTTGTCTCTGTCCATTTATAGGCATTCCCAGTGCTAGATTGTGAGAGAAATCCAAAAATTTTATGGTTTCTATATATTCCTCTGTATTCTTATTGTACTAATTGTCCTTAACTCAAATGTGCTGTCCCCTCATCCCCCAAAAAGAGATGGAAAAAAGCAGGGCAAAAAAAGCTGTAAGGAAAATAAAAAAGAAAATAAATCTTGGCATATAATGAAAGAAATTAACATTCAAAAAAACCTCAAGTAAGCAAATTCAGGACTGGCTGATCATAGAGACCTTTTTGTACAGCTGCTCCTTTGCCTGAGAACTCCTGGCTACAGTGCAGCAGTAGATTACAGCTTTGAAAAAGGACTAGACATTCACCTGGATATCAAAATTATCTAGTCTTTTGCAATAAATGGTAATTGGTTTTAGCATATATAGCCTCTTGCCTTATATGACATCCATAATAAATAAAATTGGAAGGAAACTTTTCAGAGTGTCCTATAGCTGCTGTTTACACGGATTTGAGGAGGGCAAAAGTGGGATTCTTTGGTGCAATGGTTTTGGTAATTGCTGTTGGTGCAGTAGTGGAAAAGATGGACATCTCTCCTGGCTAATATAGCCTTTTTATACCCTGTATCTATCTTCAGGTGAAGAAGGAGCTGGTGGGACCCAGTTACACGTTACAAGATGTACACTTCTGCCTCCCATACCTCGGAGTCTTGCTGCTGCACTAAGATCGGCCTCGTATAAATAATTAGCAGAGGGTAAGAACATTAAATAATACAAACACACAACGGTCTGACCTCGCTGGACTTCATGACCCCAAAGAGAGGGTACAGGAAAGCAGGAACCAAGGCTGCTGCCCCGAGAGGCACTGCTTCAGAGACCCAGTACACAGCTGTCACCACGAGCACGTAGGCACACGAGGCTTCCTGCAGGGACAGAGCACAGAGCATTAGTGGTGCTGCCCCACCGCGTGCTGTGGGGAGCCCTGTGAACTCATCCACAGTGTTCTTCAGAGTGTGGGTGCCTGGGTTTAAAAAAAACCAAAAAGGACCTCCAAAGGTGCAGCTCTTTGGGTGTGAAATCTTGCCTACCATCTGGTAGTGAATGTAAAGGACATCCAAAGGACAAAGGACAGTGTGAGAAGATGACCCTAATGAACGTTTTCACACGTAATCCAGGGCAAGGCATTGGGATAAGCCTATTTGTCAGCAAAATAATGGCTTCAAGTGCATTTGCAAATTTGTTTGATTTCCCTAATCCAATATTTACCAAGCATACAGTCATGGCTCCACAGATTAGACCTGTTGACCCGTTATCTCTGCATATTTTTCTCTCCAGTCCTGGACAAAGAGAAGAACTGCTAGTTCTCAGGACCAGATTACAGCATTCACATCTGCCATAAAACTGTCTTGTAGTTATTTTGGGAAATGCTCTGAAAACTTGAGTTGTTTGTTTGTTTGTTTGTTTGAACAGTGTGCAAACACTTTTTTTAGCTGGTTTTATTTGCTCAGGTCATTTCTACAAACCTTTGGAAGACCACAGGCCTTCAGGATTGAAGACAATGGGTGAATGGAGTTAATCAAACAAATTTGCTGCTGTCCAAGGTTCTGGTAGAAAAAGGCATGAGAGCATCATGGTGAGCAGTCATGGGGAGCTGGGATTTGATAGAGAAAAGTGCTATCTGATGAATATTCTTACAGAAAAACTCAGCTAGTGTATGGAAGTCTTCTGGTCCATTCCTAAGATAATGTCTTTATTTATGGCTCTCATTGGAGTTCTCCTGATGCTATACTTAGAAACCTGAGGATATCTGCTGATAATAATTACAGAAACTATCATCAAGAAAAGGTTTTACCTTTTTTTTTTCTTTCTCAAATTTAAAGCCAAGTCCTGTATTGGCCTTAACTTGCTGTTCTATGGCAGGTAGTAGGTCTGCACTGATTTACTTCAGCTATAAATTTATTTGTTCTTCATTATGCACCAGATGTTCCATATGAGCTCATCGAGCCAAACGGAGTCTCAGCTCAGAAATGGCTATTGTTTAGAAAATTAATTGTTCAAAAATGCTATTTGAGTCTCTTAAAATATAATTTTATACATTATACATCCATCCTGGCTGGATGACTTCTAAGTCAAGCAGCTTTCAAGAGGTCACACAAGCAGTTCTCACAGATCCATGTGCAAATCGAAGAGCATGTCTTAAATTTCATTCTTTTCAATCAGTTTTGTGAACAAAGTGGCAAAGCCTAGTGAAATTATACAGGGATGTAGGTTCAATGGAATGAATCAATAGCTTGTATTTAAATTCTTTATAGATGTCATTTTTACATTACCTCTAATAAAGAGCCACAATCAGCTGTTCATCTTTTTTTTTGAAGTACAGATTACAGTAATACCAGGCAGAACACAGTCCAGAGAGGAAGGTAAGACAGATTGATATGTACTATTTCTTTTACCTGTGTAAGTATTGTAACCAAAGTTGCTCGGAAGCTTGGATTTAAATTACCTCTCAGGTCTTGCTTCGACTCCTATTTCAGAAAAGTGCAACATTAAACTGGTATAATTCAACAAATTAGGTTTAGCTCATGTCAGGTTTATATGGGATATTAGGAAAAATTTCTTCACTGGTAGGGTGGTCAGGGTTTGGAATAGATTGCCCAGAGAGGTGGTGGATCCACCACCCCTGGAAGCTTTCAAAGGACATGTGGATGTGGCCCTTGGGAATATGGTTATGGGGTGAACATGGAGGTGATGAGTTAGCAGTTGGACTTGATGATCTTAGAAGTCTTTCCCAACTTTTCCAAATGATTCTATGACTCTGTGATTCTATTAAGCAGGGACACCAATATAACTGAAAGAAATTTATAAGAAAACCTAACTTCCTTTGAGCAGAAAAATGCCAATCACTTGAGAGGCTGAAAAGAGTATCTGAAAGGCTGCTGGAGAAATTTAGCTCTGGATTAGCCAGTTTGCTGCTCAGTCACCTTTAACTACATTATGTCTCAAGTTAATATTCCACAGAGAGGAGAGCATAGGGCCCTTTTCATGATCTTGTGACTCTGACACATTTTTAATTTTTAACTCATCAGCTTCTGCTAATGTTTGCATGGGCTCTGTATCAGATTCAGCAGTTGTCTGAGGAGAAAAAGAACTTCTAATTAAAGAAGAATCAACAATTTTTATTTTAGAGCAGTCCAGATGTGTGTTTTGCCAAAATTAATAAGGTAAATTTCAGCCTAAGCTGAATCCAGACCATTTTCTCACTTCAAAAATGTACTTCTCTTTAATTTCTTTGAGTGATTGTTGTTATATTTTATTACTCTGTGTGTGTCAATAAAGTAGGCTTGTAGTGAAAATGGAATAGGACAAAGGGAATTTTCATCTCTACTAAAACCTAACTGGGATGGCAACTAAGTTGTTGTATTTCCTATAACACTAGGTTTTAATAATTTTACAAAAAAAACCAACCCAGATAAACTGCATTTTTAAATGGTACAAAACTGTAAGCAAGTACTGGGAAAGCCAAGCTTGCTAATCTCCACTAAAAACTTAATCAGCTTGTCTGTCAACTTCATTTTTTTTCTCAGTTTATTTCCAAGAGAAACCATATTAATCTCTTCTATTTAATTAACTGAGTTTATATATTTAATTAATGGTTACCAGAGCTACTGAGTATTACACTGAAGCGGTGCCAGTGTAATTTTAACTGTTTCACCCTCCTCACTTGTTTTACAGCTGAAAATTTCTGTTAAACACACCTCAGAGCTTGAAACAGGGAATAGGAAAACATGGGATGGTTGGAGGGACTCTCATCTAAGTATCTGTCTTCAGTCAGTCCCTTAGGTGAAAGAAAAGAGGAGCTGGAAGGAAGCCATGGCTAAAAACTCCACCCCAAGGGTCATGCATTTACTTTTGTAATTAAGATATCCAAGGATCTCGGAATTATTAAAAGGAAGAATAAAGTCTAAGTGGGAAATTTGCCCACTTATTTGCCCCTTGCATATCTTTCATGCAGACATGTGGTTAAGATCTGCAAAGAGGTAGTCCAGCCTCTGGAATAGCATCTTTGATTTTATGGGATCATGCTAAAGTTCCATCCTTCAGCTTGTGTATATAAAACCAAAGGGGAATGAAAATATGTCAACTGTGGCTCTTCAGAGAATATCCTGTGCTTTGGGGTCCATTCTGCAGATTTGGCATATCAAGATGCCAACATCTCCTGGTACTGCAGGTCTCACAACTCTGCCAACAGGTGACTTTCAGGAGTCATCCAAATGTCTGGGTGCAGTGTGGCCACAGGAACAGTGGTCACAAAAAGCCTGTCCCCAGCTGACTGAAATCATGTGGCATGCCTTATGGCATCTCTGGTGGCTTTATGACCAAATAAAAAGAAAAAAAAAGAAGAAAAAAAAAAAACTAGATAAAGATTACAGAAAAGAAGCAAAAATGCTCCCATGTCACTGTAAACAACGAAGGAAATAAGGACAGAATGAAAAAGACACTCAGTTTGTAAAACACTCACTTTTTTTGACCTGAAAGGCATTTATGTATGTCCAAACCTGTGGGTTTTGAAGGGGAAAGAGAATTCAAGCAAATTTTCTCAAATTTATTTTTCACACAACCACTTATTTTCACAAATATTATAAAAGAAGCTGTGGACTTTATTCCCATTAGCAGCATCTACAAACAATCCTGAGCTCTTGTGCTCCCTTTGATCTCTCTTGCCACTACATATAATGCTCCTTTGATATTTCCAGAGATGTGCTGGTATTCATCAAAGAAACTGCAAACTGTTTCCCTGCAGAAATGCAAATATAAATGACCTGGTAATTTCAATCTCTATAAAAATGACAAAAAACTAATATAATTGTAAAAATACAAGCATCTGAGCAGGCATCTAATTTAATCTTCATATTCAAAAAGTAATCATAGTTAATGGGTTGTAACAAAGTAAAATCTGCATAAAAGCACTTGAAGCTGAGTTTATTTGGTGTAGATGTTTTCTTAATAGCACTATAAACATTTGTCCAGCTCTTGATCAGATTGTCAGCTGTACCTTGACCTCTGTGGTCACTCAGATATGTACAAAATGCATGTAAACTTCCTCTGGATGGATTTTCACATCACTTTGCAGTAAAGCAGCACGACCAGGTGCAGAGTAACAGTGCAGAGGAGCTTGTACTGTGCAATAGCAATTCTTGCAGCAATCCTGTCAGTGAACTCCTGCTTCAACAACCACAAGGTGCTTTACAACCCCCTTGGCTGAGCGTGCCAGGGAGCATCTCTTTTCATGTCACCCTTCCAGTGACATCAGGGGAGATTAAACCCTTCTGTAAAACAAGCCTCTGTGAAAGGGTGACCCTCTCTGCTCCCTGAAGAGCACAATTGTCTGTTACTCATTCCCTCTCTTGAGATAAAAGAGATGAAAAACTACTGTAAGAGAACAGCTAAAATACGTTGAAGCTCAAAGCAGGAAAACTCAAAGTGCAACATACAGTTCAGTGGTGCAGGAACATTTACTTTCTACAAATCCTGGTTTATTTTCCAAACAAAACGTTACTGTTTTGTTTTTGAAATCAGCTATGCAATTTCCAATCCTTTGCATTTCTGTTGGATAAAGTGCTAGTATTCATGAATCCTCTGATACTTTAAGGAAGAATTAATCTTTAGCAGGGTAGAGGATGGAATGGATATTGCTGCACCTTTTGGACAGATTTATGTCTAGGTCGATGGGGAAGGACAAGCTGCAGATTTTTAATACATTGCAGATTTTGCTAAGTTAAATATCACCACCTCTCTAAGGTAGCAGAACATTGCTATTTTATGGGTTACAACTGTAGAGATGTGCAAAGAAAGGACTCTACCACGTGGTCAAGGTATTCGGTATCTCCAAAGCAGCGTCGGGAACAGAGCTGCATTCCCTCCTTCCTTGGTGTGTGTGTTAGGCACAGGATATTCCCTCCTTTGCACTGCTGTGTATGTCTCTGGGGCAGCATTTACAAGCCACTGTCAGAGCTGCAATGTTCCAGCAGAGGTGCCTACACCTGCTCTGGAGCAGCCAATGCCTTGTCACCGAGTCCTAGGTCCTGCCTCACCTGAGTCGGTGTCTTTATAAACCCTCACTAAACTGAAAGTCCACCCATGCATACTTACTGCTAAAAAAGTCAAGACTCTATAAGCATCCCTTTTAAAGACTTCTCCTTAAGGAAAATATCATGGATGTGTTTGTTCTGCTCCCCCTTCCACACAGATATTATTTTAGAAAGAGATCCAACATTTCTGCTTTAAAGCAGTGCTTTTCTAGCTTCACCTGGCTCTTCAGCTCTGCCTGTGACACGACTCAAGGTAGCTCTAAGCTCTTAGTGATGATTTCTCAGGGACCCTCACAGTCCTTCAAATTTGAGCCTTTGATTTTTCTAAGACCTGTGCTTCTTGATGTCTTTGGTTTTGTTTTGCACACTGTAAACTTAATCAGCAGGACTACCTGCTGCACTCAGAGGCTTTGTTAAAAAGAAAATGAAAATGTACTTACACTGCTGGGGTATATGAGTGGCAGAGGAAGCAGCAGAAGCGGAATGAGAACAACGAGCAAGAGATTTCTGGATCGGAGAATCTCCTTCATCACTGCCATACTCCTTATGGTGGCTTTCTTCTTCTTCTCTGGTTCCTCAGGTATTCCAATTTTCACACCACGTTTTCCTTCACCTGTGCCTGGATTTCCCCCAGAGATCCCTCACAACCTCATCTCTTATCCCCACAGTCACCGAAAATACCTTTCTTAGTTTATTTATTCTTCAATCTGTTGTTTTGAAAAGGTTTTTCGATTAAAAAGACATTCAGTCTATGTAGGGCTCACCAGCACATCCGAATTATTATCACACCATAACACACAGAGGTTTGCAAGATGGAGCATAGTGATCTTTTGACAAATTTTCTTTATAATTCAGACTCACAGTTGTAGATGTGTTGTATCCTTATTCCCATGTTTTATAAAGATTTTTTCTTCCATCATCTAGTGGTGTTATTTCCATTTCCATAAACCAGACGAGATATGTTTTGAGCTGCTGCTTTTCCTCCTGTTTGATATCCTGAAAGTCTCAAATACAGTTTCCTTTCTGCTGGAAAATTACGAAACCAAACAATTTATTTTTCAATGCATAGAAGTAAATGTTCAGGTACTTCTTCTTTAAAGAAAGGACCAAATCCCTCCTCCATTTGCAGCTCCTTCGGATTTTATTTCTTTGCTTTTATTTTATATCTACCTTTACCCTACTTTTGCCCTGAGCTTGGAATTCACAGGGCAGTAATTCCAACATGGATTATACTTGATCTCAAGATAAAAATTTGTTAAAAAGCTACAGGCAACTCTAATTCACCAATGAGGACTGCAGAAGGTAGAAGTTGCTCCACCCATTGTCCCAATCCCAGTCAGAACATTTGAGAAAATCAACAGCCTTCTGACATTCCCACAAATGTATAAAAAGACCTTTTTTAGGTGGCTGAACAGCTTGTTATTGTTTCAAGGTCCCAGTACTGCTGATAAATAAATAATCATTGTTTTCTGAACAGTATCTTTTGTCTTCATGTTTCTCCCATCACGACCCTTGAATGTTACTAATTCATAAGGCATGGGCTGATCTCTGTACTGACTCGTGTGTCCTGAATAACCATAGGGTTCAAAATCAAATTGAGAAGTTTTAGACTTTCTACTCTTGTCTTCTAGGGGAAAAAACATTTCTCCAACTTTTCTGTTATTAATGCTTTTTGTGGGGTGGAAAGCACCGGAGATTTAGGACTGAACCCACTGGCTGGCTACATGCACGATCTGTACATGTAAGAAAAGGTACATTTGCCCTGTATCTCACGGGAAGAACACATCTAGGATTTTCCATGCCCCCAAAACTTGCTTGCCTGTCCTCTGCCCACCCTCTTCTAATCAGTGACAAACTGGGCTCCCCAGACTGGACTGCCATGCTCCGTGACCCTGGGTCCTGGAAACCTGGAAAATTCAGAGGAGTTTGATGTGCAGGGTGAATTCTTCCTGAAATTAATAATTGTATCTCAGACTTCTATACTTCAAAACTTCCATCAAAAAACAGAACCTTGAGACCTTTCAGGTAAATTTAACAACTAGCTCTGGAAGAAAAGCTATAGTTAATGTGAAGATTTCGGGTTGGCCTGTACAGCTCAGGGTCTCTTTTTTTCAATTTTTTCAGAGAAACTAAGTAAATAATAAAAAAGGTCTTAAATATTAAAAAAAATAAAAAATGTTTTTTTTTAAATGGAAAAATACAATCTTATTTCATATTTTTATGATCCATAAGGTCAAAGGGTGGATAAAATGTACCATTTAGGGGTAATGGTTTTCTAACCTGTGAGATAAAAACTACCCCTAAAGAAGATTCAGTCCAAAATGATAAGATGAAAACTGAGAGAGGGAGAAGGCAATCTGCACCTGCATCTTAAACAAGACTGAGTGAGGGAAATGCCCTGAGCCCAAAGAACTTCCTTGAAGGCAGTGCTCCTTTCCACCTGAACTCTGGAGAAAGGAGGCACCTTCATTTCTATTTATTATCTCCTTCAGAGGGAAGGGCTGCTCCCTCTTCTCTCCTGTACCATTGCTCCCACAAAGAGTTTCACAGTCTGAGACAAGCAGTTACTCAAGCTGAAGTTGCAAAATAGTAAATCTGCTGCTGAAATCAATACAATGCAAAGGCAAGGAGTTTTATGTAGAATGTTTTTATTATTACATTGAGAGTCTCTGTTAAATTAACCTGGGTAGTCCAAGCACTTTCCCAAGGAATAAATCTTTTTCTTACATTACACACAGTAAAAGGAGGAGTGAAACAATCTCATAAAACCTTTATTCTCTGTTGAGGAGATAAATGTTTCAGTTGACAATTTGTAAGTAGGGTAAGGTATGTATACCATTGGGAATTATAAGATATTAAAAATTGTAATTCTTTTTTATGGGACATTTTATGATTAGTAAACTCTGCTGGACAGTCCTGTTTTGGGGTGAGGAACATGGCTGGGAGGTATTTCTCTGATTGGTGACTGCTAGCAATTAATATTTGCTCTATTTTGCTGTCCTGGTATTTTTGCAGCCTTGGAGTAGCTGGCTATGAGGCATTTATGGATTCCCCTGGTTCCAAGCTCTTCCAGCAAGTGGTGTTCCAGGGAGAAAGGAAGCAGAGCTGGAAAGGCAGTATTGCATTCTGTGGCATTTCTCCTTCATGTGTTTATAAAGCATGGTGGGGGAAGAAATCACAAGCAGATCATCGGAGTTAAAGCTGAGGGCTCAAAGGGCATGTGGGCAGGAGCACAAGGCTGCTTTGGGGGTGCTGAGCTCTTTGTGTGCAAGCAGAGGAGACAGAGATATTTGTGGCCCACAGCTTTGTGGCTGAGGTTTGCAGTTTCCTTCACCACCTGCCAGACAGGCTCTGAAAATGGCCAGCAGAATTCCTCAGGTGTAAAAGTGCTCCTGCACAAGGGTGTGTCTGAATGAACGCGCACACTCGCACACACAAATCCAGAAACTCCTGGGGGAAACAAGTCTCACTCTGTCTTTTATAAGCCCTTTGTCCAGCTGCTAATGCCATGGCCAGACTGCCCCTAAGGCTGCTGTGCTTCCACGTTCCCACAGGTGTTTGCCAAACCCAGCGTGGTCTGACTGCTTGCACTCTGCTCCTTGCTGCGCTTATGGGTGGGTTTTGTCAGCTCCAGTCCTTGAAGTACCCCTTTCAAGGGACACAGAGGAATTAATTCCTTTGGTTCAAGTGATGCAAAATTAGTTAAACCTGGTTCAGAACTTGGGCTGGAATTCTTAGGTCTGTTTTAGTCCTGGGGATTTGTGATTTGGGCCTGAGCCCTTAAGATATTATGCAATAGAAAGATAGAGAATGATGGTACGAAAGGATGAAATAAAGGTGCAGCTATTTTCCCATGGTCTGGAAAACAATATCAATAGAAAAACAGAGTTTATATCACTTCTGCACGAAAAATGGGGGGTTTGATTTAGAAGAGTTTGGATTTTTGATAGCTAGTCGTCTTGTCTGACAAAATATATCTCCTTTTTGTGCCTTTTTTCTGTTCATGATTTTTTGGGGAGTTTATTATAATTGGTTGCAGTATTTGTACAGTTTTTCCTTTGCTGCCCAAATTCATAATTCGCACCACTGAATTGATAAATAGCCTCTTCTGCTAAGTGCTCAGATGCAATTGTTCACTGACTGAAAAATTTGGGATTCTTCTACATACTCAGCACTTATGTGCACACACATGCGTGAGCATAGACACACACAGACACACATACACGCATACACTCAAATGAATATACAATTTGCTGTTGAAAAAAGAGCCACAGTGCCAAATTCAGCACCAGGTATGTTTTAATGCACCTTCCTCCCTTGCCTCAGAGGGATTCTGAAGCATGAGTTTTGATGATCTATGTTCAAGTGATAGAACCAGGAAAAAATGTGTCATTATTAAATTAAATCAGGCCTTTGTCTTGCCTTGGATTCCACTGAGGACAAATACATGTTCCTTTCAAAAAAACAAGCAGCAGAAGCAAAGTCATGTGCAAATAATGAAAGAATCGTTGCAGACTGTTTGGGAGGACAGCTCCAAGAAGCTGGGAATACGTTCACAGGCATTGTTTGCTGCTGGTCTTCACAATGCCCTTTGTCTTCTATAAATGTTATTGCAATTAAACACTGGCTCGGCCAAATTAAGCGAATCAGAGAGGGCTTATTTATGAGAACATTTGGAATGAATAAAATGTGGCATAATTTCTGAAGGCTGATGGTTATGAAACATCTTCCTTTTCCAGCGGGCCTTCACATCTGGGTAATATTCTCTTATTGGCCAGCCAAAACATGAACTTGTTTCCCCAGCTAGGAGAGCAGGACTCTGCAGCACTTACACATCAGCATGTGAGCATAAGCACAGTACATTTATGTATTGCTTATAGGAAACCCAAAGGATGAAATCAAGGGTTGGCCTGAAACAAGGGTCTGCCTGGGTGTACCTCCCTTATTTTCCTGTCACAGAACGTGCCTCCAAGCCAGCACAAAAATCGAATTCTCAGGACTGAAGATGTTTTTCACCGTTTAGCATGGCACTAGAAAGCAGATTCCACAAGAGGGAGCCAGAAAACGAACAATCGTTCACGAAGCAGGCTATTGAACTCTTTACAAAATAAAGTGGTGGGTGTGCTCCATTGTGTCCTTCCTCAACCAGAGCAGGTGGCTGAGGCGCTGCTCCTCTTCCACTATGAGGGCTGCTTGCTGTAGGAGAGCATCAAGTCGTTCTTCAGGGCTTTGTAGAGATGGACAAAGGATTCAGCCCAAGTGTCCTTCTGGTGCCCCTGGGACTGAGCAGCTCTGTAGGCCGCATAGACCATGGTCAGCACTGTCCTTTCAAAGTCCTCTTTCTTGAGGACCCTCGGGTAGGAAGACAGCCTGCTGCTCAGCCTGCGGATCTCTGGGATGCTCTTGGGGATAATCTCATTGCAGATGGTGTTGAACTCAGCAGCCTTCCTCAGGGAAGCCAGCTCCTCATCTTTGATGGAGATCCTCTGACCTTTGTCAATGTCAAGCTCAGCTAAAAGAAACTGGTACAAAATCAGAACACAGAAAGCTATTTATTCTCTCCAGGAGACTCTAGACAGAGTACACGTGAATTAACAACATGTCCTTGGGTCTTTACTTTTTGTCAAATGGGGACAGTTGCACTGTCTGGAGGTGGGGAAGACCAGAATTTTTCTACGTGTTCCCACCCTTCTGGTGAACTATCACACAGCCATGGGTTTACTGAATAATGGGGTGAATAAAAGTGACATGAAGCCAGATAATGGACAGCCCCAGTACGGCCAGTACCCCCAATCTTGGCACCGTATACTGAACCTCATAAAGCAGGACCACATCTTCCAGAGAGTTTTGTAGCACTGGGTTAAGGAAGGCAGCTGAGGACCTCTTGAATCGCTGAGCAGCTGGGAAAAGCATAGCTGGAAAACAGTAATGGGAAGAGAGAAGTTCTATAAGGTGCCAAACACTGACAAGAAGCAGCACTTTTCAATAGCAGAGTCATGTAAAGAACTGCCTCTTGCAAGGTCTTACTGCACAGTACGGCCTTTCACTATAAATGAAACGTGTGGCAGGGACTGCTTTAGCCCTGATCTACCAAGGATGGAGCTCAGCTCTTTGTCCTGGGTCCACAGGGTGCCTAACACAGGGTGCTTTGTTATCCAAGCCTGGGACTGTGAGTTTCAGCCTCAGAGGTGAAAGGAATAATGATAATTGCACATTAACCTTGTCTGAAATACAGGCCCTTTTCCTGGATCTGAAAGGGGAAACCAGCACCAATACTCAACAAAACCTACTTTTCCTGGTCCATTCTTCTACTGTCATGCTTCTGAGAGTCTACATTTCTCCTGGTTTCAATTATCTAAATGTTGATCTCCCCTTATTTATTAGAGACAGATCCACCAGAGAGTAATTAGCTCATCTGTCCTGGGCATTTACACTTGGAAGGACTGACTCACCCAGATGTCTGTGTCCCTTCACTGAGCCTGTTACCAGCTTAGACAAGACAGCCACATCCAGTGAGGTGAATCCCAGCTTAGTGTGACTTTAATACTCTGCAGTGTAATAACTGGGAAAAACAGAGCCTGCTACCATCAGGGATCTGTGGCCCACTGTGAAGTGCACTGCAGACATTGTCTCAGGGAAATGAGACAGGGAACATATGTACAGTCCCTGAACTCAGCACCCCAGTGAAGTGGAGCATTTGTGGAATCAATGACCTGGACAGTCCAGGGTATAGAAAACATCTGATGCTGCCTTAGAGAAGCATTACTAAATGCTTTGAGTTATTAACTAGGTTACTAACCATCCATGTACTGTTAAAAGGTCTAAATTACTTTCAGAGCAGAAGTGTAAGACTCTGTTTAGTGTTTAATTTATATATTATTATTTGCATATTATCTAATTTTGGTGTTTCATAATTTGAATTTGTTGGGTTTTTTTTTCTAATATTCAGTAATAGGAAGTTGTTTTTTTTTAAATCAGTGCTTATGTGACTGTTGGTATGTTTCCCATAAACTTCACTTCTCTACTTTAACTCTCTTTACCAATAGATAAATTTGGAAACCAGTCTGAGAAAAAAGGAAACAAATCCCCACATTTTGAAAGGCACTATGATTCCCCTGTCAAAAGTAAGATTTTTTAGAGTTATGAGTAACATGTAATAGAACATGAAGCTTACTTTGAATTTCTGGAAAGTTTCAACCCACCCTTCCTCTACCAGATTTTTTTTTCCCCATAAAACATTTATACTAAATCAATTTTGTCTGCTTTTGCCAAAGTTCTTCTGATGGATTTTGCATGCTGCCTGTAAATGACCTGAACATCATTTAAAGCTCTTTCCTCTGGACATTAAAAAAAAAAGAAAAAAAAAAGAAAAAAAAAAAAGAAGAAAGCTGGAGCAACTGTAATTATGTTATGGAAAAGCTGTCCCAGCTCTCTGACTACATGGTTTGTCAGACAATTTACCTCTTTTGGGTTACCCAAGCAGATCATAAATATGCTACTTCTTCTAGTCTCTGTACCCTAAATGCAGCCCTGCTGCTTCCTGCACCATTGGCAACTGCTGACTTTGTTATAGTTTGTCTTGTTAATGGTATTTAAGTTCTAATAAAGCAAGAAGAGAGAAACCAGAGCCTTGGGACCTTTATGGATAATAAATCATATGAAAAATGAATCACAATAATGCTAGGTATGAAGCAACACATACCTGACACAACAAAGGGTATTTTGGCCTTAAATTAGCTAGGGAATAGGTAAAATATTTTGTTGAATTGCAATAAATATATTGCAGGTAGATAGAGCAGTTAGGATGGGTTTCAGGCATAGCTGCCTCATCCCTGATGTTTCCCTCTCTTGCTCAGAGCTTTGCTGAGGCATACTGGAGCTACTCCATTTTTTGCTCTTGACAATTCAAGGATGCAACTGAGTGCATGTGAAGCACTTGAAACTTCAAACACTAATTGCTGAGTAATTAAAACTTTTATTACTGGGCAATTAAAACTCTAATTACTTAGCAGCTGGCAGAAATCCAGTCCATAATGATGACTATTCATTTTTATCTCTTTTAGTTTTTAGATGCCCTTTTGGTGAAAACAGCCTCAGAGCACAGAGTACCTCTACATATGCAGATGGTTTACAACTTAAATATCCCCTGAGCCATGGAAAATGTGTCTGTGGCATCTTGCTTCAGTGCTGTCATGCTTCTTGTCATCACACTGATTGCTTTGAAGCTTCATCCCAAGCAGAGATTCCCACCATGGAGCTGAGCTGGGAGCCAGCAGCTTCAGCCCATCACCACTCACCCAGAAAAGCCTCAGCAAAGGACTCACACAAAAATGAATGCCATCCTCCATCTATCAATTCAGTACTGGCCCACTTGCTGAGACACAGGCAACACCTCAGAAGAAGCAGGGTTTTCCCACCCTGCTCTTCCCATGATGCCTTAGGTTAGGAGATTCAAAAGGACAAGGGCTTGGGCTGCTTTGTGGTGAGAAGGGATATTTATGTGTACCAGAAGCATGCCAGCCTCTGTAGCACTGACTCCCTCGTCTCATTATCTTGTTCCCAAAACATATTAAAGTTTGTTACAGTTCTTAGAGACTCTACTCAGAAAGTCTTTCAGAGCTCATTTGTATTTGTCATAGTTATCTGATTTTCCTGATTTGCATTTTATTCAGTCGTTCCCTTTATCTTTCTTCCTGCTCAGTAGTCAAATCCTTCCCCCATCACTCCCTCCACGGTCCTCTCCATGAATTCACGAGTTCCTCCAAGACAGTATGAACATTTGGAACAAGCACTCTGATTTTCATTGTACTGACTTAACACACATGTCAGTTGAGCACAAAAGCTGAGATATAGAAAGATTTTTAGTCAGTTTATGCATTTAATGATTTTGAATTCCACTTGAAACTTTTTTGCTGACTTTTATGTCTTCCTGCATTTACTTCCATCTCTGACATGAGTTGTCTGAGGACATCAAAGAACAGTAGAAGAGTTTAGAACTCTTTACCAATTTCTTTCTCAAGGGACTTCTCTATAAAGCTATCAAGCAATTGGAGATGCAGAGTGATGTGCATCCCTTTATGTTGATGTTACAGCCAATTCATTTCAATGGCAGTAGCCATGAATATCTAAGCAGCAGAGATCCCAAATTACTATTGACAGAGAAAGCCCAGCCCAGTGATCTCTGAAGTCAGTGGAGAGTCTCCTATTGATTTATTGTTTTTATTTCTCTTACAAATGTGTTAAGACCTCTCCCATGTAAGTGTGGGTGCTTCTGTTCTAAGGGCTGGTCAGTGTCGTAACAAAAAGCTTATGATCCGAGAAGACAAGTTAGGAAAAACAAGCTTTTCATTATCCTTACTGAAAACATTTTCTATTATATATCTGTGCACGCTCATTCTCTTCCAAATCCCTTCTCCAGAGAGGACCTGGGAGTTCTGCCTTACTGCCTGCTCAGGACTCAGGGCTGGAGGTGGATCAGAGAGAGCAGTGTATCTGCCACCCCTCCAAGCCTCCCTGCCTGACCCTGCACAGCCTCATCCTGTGCCCTGGAGTGCACCACTGCCTCTGCCTGAAGATTGCAGGCAGCCCACACATCTCCTGCTAAGGGTGGTTAAAAGAGCCCACCAAAGCTGGCACAGAGAACTCTATTTTCTGCTTGCTGCAGGAGCCCATCCAGTTTCCTACAGCTCTGTTGACTCAATTCCATCCTCCTTCAAGACTGCCCAGGCTCTTAGAAAGAAAGCCGTGTTTGCCAACTCATTGACCTACTTCTATCTACTTAGCTGATGCATCTTTATGCTTTAAACATAACATCACATTTGAGGCTGACAATAGCCTCATTTTAAAGATGTTTTCATCCCTCTTAAGAGATTCTGCCAGGATTTTCTGCACTTCATTAGCCGTGGGGTAAATATTTGTGATCCCCTCCCAGGTTTTCCCTGCAGTTTGATTGGTGAGGGTACAGATGTTTAGTTTGGCTTTCCAGTTCATGCATCTGCTCATTATTTCCCAGTTGCTTCCTGTGATGTGTTTGCTCAATAAGCACAGAGCATAGCTGCAGGAGTTCTCAGTTATTTCTGCATCACCAATGCCCTTTTCTTCCCCTATGAAAAGGTATGAAGCACGATTTGGGACCTGTGCAGACCATTTTTCCAAAGCAAGTACAGCTCCCCTGCACTCTAGGACATGAACAGTTTAATTTGGGTTATGACTCAGAAGGAATTATTTTGATTGTCAGAGGCATGGAAAAAAGTTATCTCACTGCATCAGTAATATCCCTTTCGTGAAGGACGGGAGGAGAAGAGGAACAAGAAGCATTTGATGTGTGTATTGACCTGTGGCAGGTGTGTTGGGCAGTGCAAGTGGTAATGTAAATCACAAAAAGGGCAGGATGATTAAAGGATTAATGTGCTTTATGCATTTTACTCCTTGTCCTGTGCTTGGCTCATCCCCAGAAGGAGGCATCTTCACCATCTTGTACTTGTACTGACCTGGGCCTGCAGCTGCTACCAGGGCAGAGCTTTGGCTACACTCCCTGATTTTTTTGCTTTTCTGTATCAAAACTGCTATATTAGAAATCATTGAACACTTTGTCCCAGTGCAGGAGAAACTGACAGCCTGGGGATTTGGAAGGAAGAATAAGGGCAATAAAATATGGGAAACACACACAAAATCCTAGAAAGACAAGGAAAAAATGCTGCAGTGCTACAGTTTAGCATCTGAAACTTGTGTCTGGATTTGCAGTCATTCACATAAGTAGCTTCAATTAACAAGTGCAGTGCAAATACTTTTACATTCCAATTTTGATACATTTAAATCTCCATCGTTGGGGGATTAAATCCCGATGCCCTTTAGGAGAACACAACAGTCAAATGGAGAAAACATTTTTATTACTAAACAACATGAATTAGCACAT